ACCGTAAAAATATCCTTTATCATCTGCTTAATATTATTATTATTATTTATTTATCCAAGAGTTTACCAAACCCCAATGAATTATTCCACCACTTTTACAAGCAAGCTATGCAAATATTTTGATTATCAAATTCCCATTTTTTATGTAATGTCTAAGTTCATCTATTTTAGCATTTACGTCGCTATAAATGCATTTTTAAAATTTTGTTTTACTTGAGAGTAAATTTGTCAGAAACATCTACAAAAATACTGATTGTCTGACTGGTACTAGTAATGAAAAATTCCTAAATCTTGTTGTCACCAGTATTAATGATTCGTTTACAATGAATAGTAACAAACCGTTGCATTTACGATTGATTGAATTCGTAAAAAGTACACCAATCATAGTTAGTGTAACAGAACGCTGTGTTTTAATGTAATCTTGATCTTACTGTTTTAATAATTTTTATTTTAAACGAAATTTAGTTGCCAACATGAAGGAAATAAAATTCTGTTCCAAATAAAATTACTGATCACTTGGCTTGTATTCTTTTATGAAGCCTCTGTATATCGAAACTGTTACTGTAGGTATATGTTATTTCTCTTTGTTGTTATAAATAATTTGTTTTATTTTCTGTATTTTTAAAAACTATGAAGAAAATTTTCAGAGTATTGTTTATTGATTAGTGCATTTTTTATGAATTCCTGTTTGTTACATTAAATATATTTTTGAATACATTAATTTCATTCTACCAGATAAACATGTAACTACACTTTTCTTTAGATTACTATTCAAACAAATTAAAAAAATACCTATGTATTTTCTCTTTGTGGTAGATGTTTTTTACGTGTTGCTCTTTGTCAATTGTGATATTAGAACAACAAAAATACAAGACATTTCCTTGCAATTACATTATTTAATAATTTTAATATATCGGGTATGCGTTTTTGTATTAATTATATTTAGACGTACCATTTTTAATTTTTATTTTGTCAACACTTAGGAATCTTGTGTGGGGTTAGATATATTTTGCATATTGCATATACAATATCTGGTATTAAAGAACATTACTTGACTTCATTTAATAGGAATATTTAAGAAACATGTTTGAATTTATTTGAACTAGCTTAATATCTTTACAAGAAAGTAAAAATTATTTTTACTCTTTCATAAAAACAATTTCCTGTTTATATGATGATTTCTGGTTAGGAAAAACTAAATTTATGTAATCAAATCCTTAATTGATCTTTTTGGTGCAAGAAGTTATTTATTTTAGAAAAAAAATTTTTCAGTGTAACAGATACACCCAATTAAATAAACAAAGTAATGACACAATTAAATAATTATGAATAATACGATGAAATTATGGCAAGACGACGCCTTTCTTTTGATAGCTGTAAATGCTGTTCCAAAATTCCCTAAGAAGTAATTTTGATAAAAAAACACAGGTAATTAAAAATGATATGTTTTTTTATTGATTCATAAAGTATACAGTATGGGGTTATGTATGGAATAGCATATATGGCCTATGGCTTTGCTGGCACATAAGCACTCTTTTGTCGAAAATTTCCATGACCGTTTTACATAAATGTGGCTGAATTTTGTTAAAACAACGCTTAACTTCCTTCTTCAAGACGTTGGTGGTCGTGGGCTTGATGGTGTAAACCCTACAGTTCAAACTCCAAAGAAAAAGTCCAACGGTGTTAATTACACGATCTGGGCGGCCAATTCTGATCACAAAAACTGGAAATTACACGACCAGAAAATGACGCATGCAGTAATTTAATTTTTTCTCGGGCTCTATAGCATGTGGCACCGTCTTGTCGAAACCACATGTCGTCTATCCATATCTTGCAATTTAGTTACAAAAACACTGCATCATCATCTCGCGATAGCGAGCATAGTTGACTGCTCAACAACCAACCACTTGTGGATTTTCTGAATCCCTAACTGCGACAATTTTGTCCGTTAACGAAGCCATCAAAATAAAAATGGGTCATATGGCTGAAGATGATTGTTTGAAAAATCAGCATCCATGTACCATTCAGCAAACTATCTTCACTCTGTATGGTCTGTAGGCTTCAGTTCTTGAGTCAATTGAATTTTGTAAGCATGAAGATGCAAATCTTTCGTAAGAATACGCTATAGCTTCATGAAATGTTCCTGGAGTCTCAACAACACTCCCACGAACTGCTTCGATGTTTTGTGTTCAACGACTTGTTCAAGGACGGCCAGGCTGTTTAGGATCACTAATTGTTTCAGTCTCCATGAACTTTTCAATTAATCTCTTAACAGTCGATGAAATTAAATCACTATTCCGCCCATATTTTGTACGAACATTGAGAACTGTAGCTGCCAAATCTTCATTACATTTAAAATATTGCCCAACAATGAATATGCGTTGTTCTTTAGTGTAGCGCTCGATTTTTAATAACCCTGAACTATTAGCTGTCACGCTGCTTTTTTTCATTGGCAACACCGCACAAATGGCGCAAAATTCGAAGCTTGCGTGATTTTGGACACCCGATATATGTATTGATTCACTTGCAAATATTTCAAAACTTTACCTCATTTACAGGGGGGCTTTCGTTTTCGCGTTTTGGCAAAAATAGTACCTATTAGCAACTAATATCAGTTCAGAGTAACTCTAAGTTGCTATTAGCTACTAATAGCTACTATTTTTGCCAAATCGAAATGCCCTCAGATTTGTGTTATTATTCACGTGCCTCAAATGTCAAATTTAACACATGTGATTGATACGGCCGTCAACTTGTATGACACACGTTCAAAGATAAAACACCATGAATTGTTAAGACGAGTTGATGAAAAACTATATCTTGAGGATACAATGTGCTGTAAACAAGTGATAAAATATTATCGTTAATAGGCTCTTAAAATTTTAAAGGCAACATTATGGTCTAAACGCAAATAAGTGGGCTAATCTGAAATTTATGATAACCATTTTCTATACATAGACGATACATCTGTGACTACTGGAATAATTTTTACAGGAATAATATTTAGATAAGGTGATCGTGTTTTAATTCGGCACTTTGAACTGGCTACGTGTCCAGTAAATATACTCACCATGAAAATTATTAATAAAATACTCGTAATGTACCTGAGTGCGATTAATTAAGAAAAAGGATGAAGTGTGATCAGTTACTATTATTTTTAACTTTAACTGAATGGATATTTACACAAAACTACAAAAGACCTAAAATTTCAAAACCTCACGGTCGTTATTGGAAGAAATTAGTGTTTTACCGACGTTTAAAAGATAAACACTGATGTACCAAAGATCATGTGGTAATACAGAGGCAACAGTGGAGGAAAAAGTGACGAAAATGCCATATAAAGCAATTGGAAAAGAAAATGGATGAAGATCAACGAAAAAAAGCACAAAAGAGATAAAAAATATAATTTTTAATCTATTGTTTTGTTATATAGCTAAATCAAACAAATTGGAAAGATTTTTTAAAAAATGTTATCGAATTAAGTAAATGTTCTTGTTGTTGTCTTTTAAAAATAAAAAAATGAAAGATGTAAGCTTTGAAACTAAACACAACCCAAGCCAAAACTTCTCAGTTCAAATTATGCACCAAAACTGAAAGACATAAGTACTCATTAAAGGAAACAGCATTGCTCATTCAAGTATTGCTGTATTTTTGTACTAATCTTCTATGACATCAATTAACTTTTAAAAATACTCACAACATTTTTTTAGAAGTCACACAAATTGAAATCAAAACATGTTTTATTTTTAGAGAACGTAATTACCCTTTTTATTCCTCGTTTTGATTGTTACGATCTTCGTGAGTTTACATTCACACTTCAGTAAACAAAAATCTACATACACTATACACGAGCTATAGTATTTTATATTAACCTCTAATAATAATGTCCCTCAGTGTTTATTTTTTCTTTTGTCTGTGAGTGGATAACGTAAACTTTTTCTAATTTTACACAGGTTGCGTAGCAAAAATATATTTAGTACCTATTAATTTTATTCTAATTTGACTGTTTACATTTAAATATATTTATCGGTGTAGTTTTTTCAATGAACAATAATAAATACGTCAAATAGGTTATATTCAAATTGAAATATAGCAATTTTCGTTGTAATATTTCGCGCACAATATAAGTATTTTTAGTACCTTTTTCTCCTTTGTATACGTAATTATATTCTGAACTTTCTGTCGACAAAACACATTTCTTTTCTGATAATTTTAATATACAATCAAATAAAAATTTATGGAAATCTAGGAATAAAACGATAGTAATCCTAGACCTACGGATATTCCAATTTCAACGATGAGATTTATAAATATTTTTTATGTCATTGGCAAGGTGTACAGTAAACCCACACGACTCGAAATCTTCTAAACATTGAGTAATGTGCTTCATGATTAAGTGTGACTGACTTTTCACTGCAGTTTTTTTAACTAAGACATTGGCCTAAATTGTTAGCCAGTATGTCTCTAAAACAATAATGTTTTATTAGCAGTTAATTTAATAATATTTTTATAATGTTTTCTATTTCTTTTTATTGTAATATAACAATACAGTATCCTCTTTATAACTGCGGCACGTGGATAAGTCAGACGTTGATTTTAATAAACTTATTTCTGCCTCTTACAGCACATGCACGATATGAAACTGATTCATTTCCTAAGCGGTGTTAAAAATATCTAGCAGATTAATTTATTACCATTTCAATAGCTTTTCCGTTTCTTACAAGATACGTATAATACATTTTGTATTCCAGACAATTAAAGTAAATTTTCATGTTAAAAAACTATTTATTGAACAGCATTCCAAGTTACAATCACTTCATCACTTCACCATAACTTAAAAAGTTTAAGATGGTCTAATTTGACTAAAATCAACGGCGTTCATCTATACCTGACCAGGAATATTGAACTTTTCTATCTTATACAATAAATAACTAGATTTTCTTTTATTTCCATTATCGTAAACACTCCACGGCGAAATTTCTAATTTTTTCATCCGTTTTCCAGATGCTCGGAGCTGCACCACGTGCGACAAGGTGCTGCAAGAGTTGGAACAGATCGACGACGATACCGACTCCTTCGGAGTGGATTTCGTCAAGATTAACGACAAACGACTGGCCAAACAATATGGCATCACAAAATTCCCAGCACTTACATACTTCAGGGAGAAGCAACCGATCATCTACGAAGGTAAGAGGTGTGTCATAATGCCTGCACAATATATGTATAATAGAAAACACTATTGTCAATAGTCTTAAAAAAAAGGTAACCTTGGAAAAGTTAGAATGAGTTCTTCTGGTTCCTAATAAGCGATCCCCCTTTTGAAAATGTATGAAAGAAGTAAGTTATTCCAAATTTATTCCATAATTTGATATGATAAAAATATGTTACCGCTGAACAATTTCCGGGTTGGTTGCCACGTCATCGGTAAAGGTTTTTTGAAGTTTCCAGAGCTATATTGCTCTCTCTTTCAAAGTAAACTGCGAATCTGAAGATTAAGTCCTCTGGTCGGTATTTATATTTGCTGTGTACATGGCAGTCCGGTATACATAGATTATTATTTTTCAAATTCCACGTAGTCTCATCTCAATTGAAACTATCTCGATTCTTCTAGATTTATTTTTCCAGCCTGTAGAGTCTTGGCTAAAATCCTCTCTCTCTCCCTCCCTCCCTCCTTATACAAATGTTGTGTAAAATAATAAATAATGGTACTTCTCTCTTGAGTATTTTCACGTTTAATTAATTTATGAGCACCCTGTATATCTAGTCTAAGATTTTTGTATGACAGTCTCATTTTTTCGAGGAGCAGAACTTTTTATAAAGTGTCATTTTTCGATCAAGTCAAGAGTTTCCCCTCTTGTCAACTCCATCCGTGGACACACTGTTAATAAACTTTATGGTACTTAAATTCTGAAGTTTTTACTAGATTATTTTATTAAAAAAGTAAAAAAAAAATCAAAAAATCTTATTTTTTGCTTTCTTTAAAATTGTTTATTAACGATTTTTTGTATAAAATTTTCCTTTTACATTTTTTAAATAAGCCATTTCGATGAGAAATTCAATTCCCTACAAAATTTTTCCTATGAACTATACCGAAATTTTGCTTCGTTTTCGTGCTATATTTAAAAAACTGCAAAAGTGCATTTTCACCCCTATCTTCAATTTCAACCCTCAAATTTAATAGCACCCCGCGGTTTTTTAATTTTTAATGACTCTTCGAACAAGTTATGTGATGAAAATCCTTGAACGTCTTATTTCCTTCCATGTTTGCAAAAAATGAGAATTAAAACGTATAAGGGTAAACGCGACGAAATTCGAAAAATTGGCCAAGTTTGAGCGGCCATATATGAGTCAATTTTCATCCAAAAATTTTTTACAACCTCTTGTTTTGAAGGAAATTTTATCTACTTTTTTTTCTATGAAGCAATGCCTATACCTATCTTTACTCGAAAAAGAACTAGAGGCAAAAAAGTAAAAAAAATCAGTAAATCGATTTTTTTGCTTTTTTTTCAAATTATTTATTAAAAATTTTTTTTGCATAAAATTTTCCTATTTTGCTTCGTTTTCGAGCTACAATTAAAAAACTGAAAGGGGTGCATTTTCACCCCTATTTCCAATTTCCACCCTCTAATTTAATAGCACTCCACGTTTTTACCATCTAAAATGACCCTTTGAACGATTCATGCAATAAAATTGCTTGAACGTCATAGTTCTTTTTAACCCTGTTTTTTTCCTATTAGGTCTATAACGTATCTTGTATTTACCCTGTGTTCCGCAACTATCAATTTTTCTGCATTGTTATTCTTCGTCAAGAAGACATACTCGTACTCATTTAACGTCGTATTGAGGTGTTTTCAAGTTTGTTCAATAGATACTTGTCTTTAAAAAATACTTATTTCGGAGATACAGAGTGGAAGTTACAAATATATTAACCATTGGCGAAGATACTGGAAGATATTGATAATAGGAAACTCAGAATTTCCACGCCACTGACTGTTTTGTAAATTGGATAAATAAATTAATTCTTAATGTTGTTTTCAAGAAAATAAGTGCCTTCAGTCGAAAAATTAATCACTTTCGAGTTTTATTTTTTTTAGTTATTTTTACTAGGAATCTTTGCCCTGCCCTTGTTGTTCTCGAGCTAGGTTCTGTGAAAGCGAACCCACTGTTAGAACCACTAGGTCCCCCTTGATGTTCATTTTGATTTAGAGGGATTAGAACCAGCAAATGAACGTCAGGATGGGTCTAGAGGTCCTAATAGCGGATCCGCCCCACCAGAGTCTGGCCCGAGAACAACAAGGGTAGGTCAAAGAATCCTAGATAAAGGTAAGGAAATGAAAGGTCATTATGTAACTGGCGGCAGCGCGGCATAACTACCCGCAAAATCGTTGTACTTCAAATTCTTCAATCTTGTTTGTTATGCCTGCACGGTTAGAATTAAAGAGTATGTATGTCAGTTCCATAAGAATTAAAAAACTTGTATAGTCAATTTGAATTAGCAGCATATAAAAGTAAAAGAGTTAAAAATATTAAAACACGTATAATTTTTAATATTTGAATGGAAAAACTACTTTATCAGTGTGCCTAAAATTAGTAAATAGTGTCCTCTCCGAAGGACCATTTTGTTCTAAAGTAGCTCCCACACAAGTATTAAAATGAACTATTCTAACAAATGACGTTTGATTAATCATAACAATATTATTAACGGGAAACGGTGGACGTATTGAAGTCCCCCGAGGTTCTCATAATATAAATCGACTAAAAATAAAAACGAGCACAAATAGGTACACTAATGTTTCCAAAACAGTTCTTAATATAGTCCAAAATTTCGCAATCGATGATTCTTCGATCCTCTCTCTGTAGTTCATTATTCACACTTCTTTGTAATGAATTTATATTTATCTTATCACTCTAGTAATATATGGGCAACGAACTATAGCTATTTCGAAACCTTCAGTACAAGTACTAAGTGACAACACCCTTAATTCTTTTTGAATGAGGAAAAGGATAGGAATTTGGACTGATGCCTACTTTGAAACAAAACTTAAAACTCATGCCTTCGATAATAAAGGGGAATGTATACAAAGAATTATTATAAAAAACAACACTTAAAGTTTGTTATTACCAAGAAGAGCTGGTAAATATTTTGAATATCTTCTGAGTTAAATATAATGATTTCAAAATGTGCAAAAATTGTCAGTTCGAATTTAAGGTAGGTTGTTGATAGATGACTTTAAATCTCTTGAAGATTTTAAGCTTCTTTCAAACAAATTGACACTCGGTACTCTCTGTTTGTTGCTATTAAAAAACTGTGTTTATTTATCTTTATAGTGGCGGCTACACACTTGACAATAATGTGTGAATGGAAGACTTTTGTTGCTATAAATATTTCTGCTATGTGGATGGAGTAAGTCATAGCGATTTTTAAAATCATAGTTAAATTTAGCACCACATGTAAAACTGCCATAAGGACACTGCCGGCGTCAGGTTATTTGGCGCCTGAAACAATAGTATCTGTTAAATATGTATAAAATCTAGACTAAGAAAGAAATTTACAATCAGGAACACTTCGGGCGCCACCAAGTATGCAGCGGCTCGATGCTAACCAAACTTGATTTGGTACTGGCACACTATCTTTTATAATATTAAATTCTGGACGCTCGCAATCCAAATTTTTACATTCCTGATAAATGGGATCTTACAACACCTGCCGATAAAAATAAATACCACACTCATCTCGATATCGTTTAAATAATAAATAGATATGCCTCGATGTGGGTCAATTTAAATCGGAATCGTACGGCTGATGGAGATCTCGGTTAGACATTGTAACAGACTTGGTCCAGTTAAAAATAGACACGCTGAATTCTACCTCGGACCTGTATGGCTTACGATAAATTACCCGATGCTAAAAACCCACTGGTTGCTACGGAGTACGTCAACTTAGCGCGCTTACCAGGCAGAGGAGTTAGAGGATACAATTTTTCCAAAAAATAATATCGATCTCTTGAAAGATATATGGTTCCTTAACACTAACGTTGATTCTTTGATATTTACTAGCCCAAAGCGTCTTCATAAATTTTCCCTATTGAATCTTATATCAATGAACTTCTCATAATTACATTATTAACTTAAAAAATTAACACTAGGATTAACTTAAAACATTAATGCTTTACCTGCATCAATAATCGGGAGAAGCTAACTTAGATCCAACTTGAATGTTACTATATGTATTTATATTGTACATCATAAATGCAGGAAACGGATACACTACCTATTCTTCTTGACTGCGAGAATCTGTAAATCTATTGTGGACTTCCATGATCTTAAAGTTCATCACCAAACTTTAGCGTTCTAATTAGACTACATTTTTGACAGTTGCTCCTTCACATGCTTCCATTTCCTGTTTTTCTCTTCTGATAGTAGACAGCGCCACCTTCTTATATCTTCTTACAGTAACTTAAACCCTTTACTTGCCGACAGACCCTACGCAGACTAACAATTCTGAGATATTTCTTGAGTGTGCAATGTCAGTCATTTTATTATATCTGTTGATACAATTCCGATTCAGTAGACCCACCATTGCCTCTTTCGCAGATCCTTTAAGTCATCATTTTTTTACCTTGTTACTCATTAATTCATGTATCTTAATAATGCAGTTAGCAATCCCAAACGGGAAACCTCTATAGGGCTGTAAATGAGTCTACTTTAGCTAACTCTATAAGTATCTCGTTGCCCAATGGACCGCATGTCGTAGTACCCAAGCTAGGACCTTCTAGTCTTGATAAAGCTTCCAAACAGTCCCATATCAGCCTGGATTTATTAATTTCGTTGATTTATGAATTGATTACTTTTTTTATGTTGTTTGACTGTCGAAGCAACTAGCAATCTTTTGACCTTTTGCAATGCTCCTTAATAACTCCGTTTGTCATTGCACAGTGTTCAATGGTCATAAGTACTGCTTGAAAGACTGTATTGTGAATCCTAGACTATGGGACACTTCAACTTTTTTTTAAACTTATACTTTTAAGCTCTCACAAGTCACAACTGCATCTATTTGTCTTTGAACCATCCATATGCTAAACTAAATTGGCATTTATAGGAAATTGGAATTGGTACTATCTTCGTTTACTGTACTCTAGGCATTCTCTTTGTAAAGTTGGTTCTTGAATGGTGATTGTTGGCATGGTCATCCATTTTATTTTGACTTTTCACTGGTTGTAATATTAACTTCCTAACCTGGCATGCAAATGCCAGTATTGAAAAAAAAGGTACCACAAATTTAGATCGATAGATCATAAAAAAGAAAATGTAGAAAATTAAGGCAATGAACCGCACTTTTTTCTTAAAGTAATTCCATGTGGTGGCATCAAGCTTTTGGATATATACATATTCTGAAGTACCTTGAATAATAAATAATTGACGATTTATTTGACGAAATCTAATTAACATCAAATTAACATCAAAATATTTATCACGTTGAACAGGATTTCCTAATATTTACAACAAGGGTGATCAAATACACATATTTTATTATATTTTCATAACTAGAAACTAAAAATAATGAGAGCATGTGTTGCTGACACCTACGTAGACAATGCCACCTACACAAATACTATATTGCTGGTAGGCTACATTCTCGCAATTAGGGAAACGAATGACAAAAATTACGTAAATAATTATTTAACTACAAAACAAAATATGTTCTGTCGACAAGTTTGACTGCTTGCGTTCAAGGTTTGGTAATATTCCCCCCATCCCCACATTTTTCTACTAAATATTTTCATAGAGTATGAAGTATAATACATACATTTAGTTCTACCTGAAAACGTATATTTCTCTCCCTTTCCCGCCTTAGAGTCTGTGTACGCCACTAAATCTGAGTAATTCCTTCTCTCAAAAGGTTGCATTTATTTATAATAGTATTTATAATAGTATTACCATAAAAGAAGAACAGAAAACCAGAAGTGCTAAGAGTCGTATTTATTCAATAATAAAGTGTCAGCTTGTTCAGAAAAAATTGGAAAGAGAAACATTTTGTTACATAAATTTTAAACATTTCAGCGAAAAATCTGATAGACTACATAGAATCTGAAGCATTAATTGGTCCGTCACAAACAGATCATTTTTCTTCCCGACAATGCGCTTGTTCACAAAGCAGCCAAAGTTCAACCCATACTTCGCGATTGTAACTTCTTTAAGCTGTATCATCCGCCGTATAGTCTGGATTTAACTGTGTCTGACTACGTACTATTAATAAATTTGAAGAAACGCCTTCGAAGATACTTTAGAAGATGTATCTCGCTTGAATAATATACAGGGTGATTCAGGAGGAAATGTCAATATTTTATGTACATATTCAGGGACCCAAAATAAACATACCCTATAAATATGGGTCCTGTTCTCAGTCATCTCAGTCATAACAGGGGTAAACAATATTCAATTTAAGATTTTCCCTTTCTCTTTTTTCAAATCTGTGGATTGGTCGAGGTGGTCTGCATAATTGGCCAGCTAGATCGCCAAACCTTAATCTTAACCTAAATCATTGGTATATTGATGGTTTTTAATTAATATGTTTATTTTTCAAAGATATATTGATTTTTGTGTTTGTTCGTGATATGGTTATGGAAGAGACCGTCATTATTGTCCTTAAAATATCAAATACTATCAAGTAATGAAAAATGTTCAGTAATAAAATGTTTCTTTTATTGTAGGAGACCTGATGGATGAAGAGAATGTGTTGGACTTCTTAACAAGCTTAGAGGCCATGGATCTGCCCGACCGCATAGAAGAAGTGAACGCCAGGATCCTGGACAAGATCGTCCAGGAAACAGACTTTGTCGCCGTGCTATTCTGTAAGTACGAGCATGACCCTCTCGCAGTCCTTACTTGAATTGGCAGTAGACAAAACCAGTTGTCACAACACTTGCACCAAATTTATTAATAACCTTCCATCTTCTTCAGCTAGCAAAGTGTATTTAATAAAAACGGGATTTACGGTCATTGTACGACCATTAACAGCACAGTTATAGTTCGTCTAATTACTGTTTTTATCTTTATGTTTAACCACTTCTTTTATCGAGTGTATGATATACAGGTCCAGATGCAGAAACGTGTTCCAAAGGAGGTGCCAGTAAGTACACTGCATCCACCTGGTATTTTCGGAATTTTTCGATTGTATGCCTCACCGAATCACATGCTAAGGCTTCAATATTCCCATATTTTTTTCATACGAGCTATCAGTATTAAATGTTTAAAAAATATGTACACCTTCTCTTTATTTGAACGGTTGTGAGGAGCTTACTCATGATTAATTAATCATCAATCAATCAATTAATCATTAATCAACATAACTGATGACATTCTAACGTCATTGATGTTAATGTGGATACATATTTAACTTTGCTGGATTATAGTAGGGCCTTCGATACTACAGAGTTTTCCAATAAGTATATAAAAATTTCATATATGTTTGTTATATTTTGAGTAGATAATTTAAACTTAGACTTACGGGTAGCTTGGGATTATCAATTTTGATATAGTTATAATATTTTTTGGCCTGCATTGTTGGTTTGGGACAGGAGTAGTATGCAGAAGCACAAGATACAAAATGAGACGTTCAAAGATTCTGAATAGTTTACTTTGTATGAACGTTAGCAAATTCACATGGCCTGTCGTGTTTTTAAGATCATGTATATCTTCTTAATAAGCTAATTGAAGATTCTAATGTTCATAACAAACTTACCCACCACCCAATCACATCATCACATCTTTCAGTCCTGTTTATCTATAATTCTGTTAAATTATTTACCAAATGACAGGAAAAAGTCAAGATATTTTTTGTTACGTATTAAACTGTGTGTAATTATTTTCATATTTCTCTTGTTAACTTGCTGAGCTGTATGGTTTCACTTTTCATATGAGCAATTTGGTTAAAAATCGCTACCCGTCATTGATTTTCTTTTGTTTCATTTATTTAACTCAATAAAGATATATTATTGGTATTATTAATTATTTAACAATAGTTGTTTTTATCCATATAGCAAACATATACAGGGTGTTTTTAAATGAAGTAGTAAAAATGGTACCAGTGAATGTAAAGCCAAAAATAAGAAGATTGAAGTAAAAATACCTTATATGAAAGTTGCACCTTTAAGAGGATTGAAATTCACATTTTAATTTTTTTTCTTTAACATGGGGAATGCTAGAGATACGAAACTTAGTATGAGTATCCTACTAATAAAGAGACAACTTTTCAATATTTTTTCGATCATTGGCGTATTTTATAAAGGAGAGAAACAGTCAACCCCATTGCCATATTTTATTAGAATTTTTTTTATATGAAGCAAATTATTTATTTAAAAATATTTATTGGGAAGACTGATTTATTGCGCAACTTTTTTACCTCTTGTAATTGTTCGATAGAATCCATAGTTTTCTAGTAAAAAAAATTAGATGCGTCGTCGTTCACTAAAATTCCGTTCCGAAAATTTGTAAAAATAAAGTGGGCGGATATCATAACAAATAAATTGTTATTTACCATATTAATAAATTGACACTTTCTGTCAACCAATAATTAGTACCAATTTATTAATTTATTATCAGAATAATTATGGCAAATATTTATACCAATGACGAATATGTTGACATGCTTCAAGTGTTTTTCGAATCCAGAAAAAAAGAGTAACGCTGCAGTAAGATTATACCACCAAAAATATCCAAACCGACCGATTCCTCATAGGCAAACATTGGCCTCGGTGGAAAGAAGACTTCGCGAAACTGGTAAAATTCAGCCCAATCGTGAGGGTGCTGGAAGAAGGCGTAATGTCCAAACTGTTGAAACTGAGGAAGCTATACTGGAAGATCTAGAACAAGACCGTGGTACAAACACAAGACAGGTGTGCAGGCAACTGCATGTCACAGTCTTGTGTGGAATGTAGCTCATGAAAATCTTTTATACCCTTTTCACCATCAACCCGTACAAGAATTGAATGACCCTGATTTACCTAACCGCGTGGATTTTTGTCAATAATACATTAATAGTTCCAGGCATGACTTAAATTTCCTAATGAATATACTTTTCACCGATGAAACAAATTTGCTTAGAGTAGGTGCAGTAAACCTTCATAATGTTCATCCATGGTTGGAAGAAAATACTCGTGAAATATTTGTTTCAAGATGTCAACATAATTTCAGTTTAAACATAGTAGGAAATACTCTACTAGGTCCTTTTATTCTTCCACACAGGCTTAGAGCGGCCGAGTATCTTAGATTTTTGAACGAAAATCTTCCAACATTACTTGAAGATGTACCTCTCGCTACACGTCGGGTAATGTGGTATTTGTACGATAGGGTACCTGCACATAGTACACTTGCCGTTAGTGAATGGTTAAATTTAAATTACCGGAATCGTTGGGTTGGTCGTGGTCGTGATGCCCCTATTTATTGGCCTGCACGGTCACGTGACCTAACTCCTATGGATTTCTTTTTGTGGGGACACATAAAAAGTATTGTTTATGCCACTCCTGTTGCCTCCTCAGAAGAACTACGCTTAAGAAAATTTCAGGCAGCAGATGACCTTCGCAATAACCAAAAACTGTTTGTGAGAGTGCGTTATAACTTCAACAGACGTATTAGGTTATACTTGTAGCAAAATGGAAATCATTTCGAGAATATTCTTTAAATTTAATTTTGCATTTCTTGTTTTTTTTATTTTGAATAAGAAACAAACAGGTTAGAAACAACCTAATTACATGTTTCTAGAAAAAACAAAAAGAAATGTATATACATGCACATATCTAACTTACCTAATTAAAATACAAAATAACATTCAAAATAAACTGCAGTAAGGGAGCAGTCGGGCAAATATTCGTTTGTATTAAATTTTATTTCAGATAAATAACTTTACCTAAAACATGTCCCATAGTCATAAGTTATCGAACATTTTTCATTAATTAATAGCAAATTATTCTTAATGTTATTATTAAATTACCATCTTATTGACAGAAAGTGTCAATTTATTAATATGATAAATAACAATTTATTTGTTATGACATTCGCCTACTTTATTTTTACAAATTTTCGCAATTACCCCTTTAGTGAACGATGACGCATCTAATATTGTACTAGAAAACTATCGGTTCTCGAAAAATTACAAGTGGTAAAAAAGTTGCGCAATAAATCAGTCTTCCCAATAAATATTTTTAAATACATAATTTGCTTCATATAAAAAATTTCTATATTGCAATGGGGTTGACTGTTTCACTCCCTTATAAAATACGCCAATGATCGAAAAAATATTGTAAAGTTGTCTTTTTGTTAGTAGGATACTCATACCAAGTTTCGTGTCTCTAGCCTTCCCCATGTTAAAGAAAAAAATTTAAATGTGAATTTCAATCCCCTCTTTTAAGAAGGTATATCGCCTCAGGGGTGCAACATTCATATAAGGTATTTTTACTTCAATCCTCTTAGTTTTGGCCCTACATTCACTGGTATCATTTTTGCTACTTCATTTAAAAACACCCTGTAGTATATTGTATACCACAGTTGTGCCCCGAAGAGGCAAAAACTATTTTATTTATTAATTTATGAGAAAATATAATTTTTCATAAATTTTAAAATGGCTAAAGGCAAATTTTTTCAGTTTTTAGTATTGAAAACGACTCTATATAATCGTTAGGACTTCATTTATTTTTATTTTATAAAAAAATATTGACGTTATTGACAATTAAATGATATTTGATTTAAATTTTAGATCGAGGTCATAAAAATTTTATTGTGGTTCATAACTTCATTTCATATAAATTTAAACGGAATTAATGACTGCTCGTAATTATGTCCGAAACAAATGATAATAATTGATTAAATTTTATTGATTTCGGACTGGAGTCATAAAACTTTACCGTACTTTCCGTTCTATTATTAAATTAAATATTTACACATGACCACAAAATAAAATCGACGAGAGGTTCCTTTCACCAGACCAGGTGCATTATATGTTTTTGAGGTTGCTGAAACTCGGGTTATTCTCTTAACCTCAGAAAGTGCCTAAAAATGGTAAAACTCAACAATACCATCCCTACAACATATTCAAACTTTGTCACTCGATATCCTTATGACCCAAGAACCCTAAAACTTATAACCTCAAAACCCATAAACCTAAAACTCTCTAATTTCAATACCCAGTAAGGTCGAGATGCCTTTTATTGCAATTACCTACAGTCAGCCATATCCGGAACAGCGACATATACGTAGCAGGCTTCTGTTCCCATTGGGCTTGATTAACGTGAGTTCCCTTGCCTCTCACAATTCTTGAATGGAATGAACTTTTTGTAAGTAGAAATTTTATGGGTCATTATTCTTAAAGTAATAACTAGTTCATTTATTTGTTAGTGATCTCCGTAGTGCTTTTCATTTATGTTGGTTTGATGTATCTCTTTTCAAAGACCAGCACTAGTCTGGCAACATGTGGCCATCCCAAACACCCTAATATTTCTTTTCAATATTTTGTAAATCCTGGTGAAATCTTTCGCCCTGCTCATCACTCAAATCACCTAAATTTTCAAGAAAGTATTCCATATGTGAATGAAGAAAGTACAGCTTCAGATTCATTAGGCTTCACATATTTCTAAAATTTTTGACCAACAATACTCACGTAATTAGGATCTTTTGTATTTCCTAGAAATTCTTTGGTAACTTCCCTAAAACTTCACCGGCTGTTTTCTTCACCTTAGTCATTCTTTTTTCATATTCATTATAATGAATTAGCACTACTAGAAAATTTTATAAGAAATGATCTTTTTTTGAAGTTAACAAATAAAAGAGTCTTTCCGCTACGGGGCATATTCGTGATTAC